TATTGTTCCTTTTTTTTGGCTTTTGAAAATCTGAAGCGAATCTTCATTACATTGATATAGAAAATGTGAACTTGGGACGCTTTTTTCAAGTTAATTTAAAAATATTTCTTATTTTCGGACAAAGTTCTTCCTCATATGACATGATGTTGTGTAAGTTGTACTTTTGGTTTCCGAAAATAAATCATTAGATTAAAAATAATAAGATAGATCCCTTTGAACTTGAAAATCACATCTAGGCCAAAAGAACAAGGTACGGTTTCAATACAAATCTTACCCTGTGTTTTTCTTAAAAATAAAAGTGATGTAAAAAATTAAAACTTGTGCTTTTTGAATTATTGAAATTCCATGCAGAAAGATCATACAAATCTTTTTTCTCACATGACCTTCCAAATGCTAATTGTGACGTCATAAACTTGTGCATTTTCCCGTATTTTCTTAAAAAGTTGCAGAAGACACCAATTTTCAATCGAATTTTCTTTCAGATAATATTGTCCACAGGCATCGTCCACAAAGATTTTGAGATATGTGATTTTTCAACGAATTTTACACAACATATCTAAAAATTAACGTGGGCGACGGCTGTGGACACTATTTTCTTAAGGAAAATAACCCTTGAATGGGTCATTTTGAGGCTTTTTTCTGTTTAAAATAGAGAAATGCATCAAATTAATGACGTCATATATCCAGAATGGTACTCCATCATGCTATATTCTTTCCTGATTTATTACAGTCATATACTCAAACTAATATTTAAGCCAGTTTCAAAACTTTTTGAAAACATTAAATTTTTAGGGCACAATAAAGCTAAAACCATACCTTCTTCTTTAGTGAATGAGCCTCCAAATGGGGGAAATGCAGTTGTTTATGGCCTGGGAAAAGATTACACTTGACTGTTGACATAGCGTGAAGACAATATGATCAAATTTAATATATGTTTTATTTTAATCTTCAAAAAAAGTTAATAATTTAATTATGTGGATTTTTAGAACTATCACAATAGTATTGAATATTAATTAGTAAGGTCACGTGATCATTAATTCATGAATAACGTGTACAGCAGTTTTCTATATGCAGTTCAATAATATTTTTTGATCACAAGTTATCCGTCTACCGTCCGTCCATCTGTCTGACTATCTGTAAACTTTTCCGATTTTCAACTTCCTATCAAATACAAATGGACTTATTTTAATCAAAGTTTGAACAAAGCATCCTTTGGTAAATGGGAATTTAAATTGTTAAAATGGAGGGATAAGCTCGTTTTCAAGGAGAGATAATTAAGAAAAGAGTAAAAGTATGGTGGAGTCATCTTGTCAAGAATCACAGAGAAGGTGAAACTAATATGGAAGCTTTCTGAAGAAGTGTAGATTCTTATTTGTCCAAATCATGGCCTTCAGGCGTACGATTGGAGAACAATAAAGATTGATGTTTTGTTTGCTTATTGTTTAACGTTCCTCGAGAGAATTTTTCACTCATATGGAGACGCCACCACTTGCCGGTGGAGAGCTGAAAATTTTTGACCTTTACTCGGCACTTAGGGCGATTGAGCACTGAGGAATCTTTTTCGTGCCAACACCTACTGCGACACGGGACCTCGGTTTATACGGTCTCATCCGAAGGACCGGTCTCCACGTCCCACAGTGGGAGAGATTGAAATATATAAGGAAAATCTTAATAAATACTCTTCTCAAAAACCATTAGACCACAAAGTTCAAACTTATATGGAAAGTTTGTGAGGTTGGAAAAAATATTTTATATGTCTTGTTTTCTAGAATCACTAGGCCAGAAAAAGTGAAACATTCGAAATCATTCTGAGGTAGTAAAGATTCTAAATTGATAAAATCATGGTCCTCGGCGCGCTAGGGGGTGGGGGTCGGGGGTAGGGCTTGGCCACAACAGAAAACTACCTATCAATGAAATATTTTATAGAAATCTTTAAAAATCTCCGTGTCAAACACCAGAAACCCTTGACAACCAGAAAAAAAAAAATGAAAATTACATGAAATAATTCCTGTGGTTGAAGGATGAGGGGTTGGGGACAAAATGTATATGTGATGCACTGCAGTGCCCCCGTACATCACGGTGAAGAAAAAAAATTATCATGAAATCAAGTCATGATCAAGCTTCAGGGTCAAGAGATAAACACTTGTTGATAAGAAAGCCCTAGCACCATCCATTCAAAAGATAAGCAAAAAACTTTTTTAAAAATTAGGTAAATTTTTCAGGTCAAGATCAAAAATATTTGTACCCAAGAAAACAATTTGTCTAAAGAAATGCATATGAGATACTTCTGACCATTCAAAAGTTATGGCTAAATTTAAAGTTTTTCAAAAGGTGGCCAATTTCAAAAGTCAATTGCAAGGACAAAGGATCAAAAGTATTTGCTTCATGAATATTCTTGTCATTATTAATACGGATGTGAAGTATAAATGCCCTAGCAAAAACCGTTCAAAAGTTAAAAAGTAGGTTAGAGTTTGGAAAAATTTTGAATAGTGGATCGATCTGCAATGTCGAAGACGAGAAAGTACGTGTAAATTTGTTTTTTACCCAATTAAAATTCTCAAGGAATATACACCTATAAACTATGAAAACCTTAGCTTCAACCATTCAGAAGTTATGATCAAGGTTAAAGTTTTTGCGATAAAAACAGACAGTCAGACGGAAAGACAGATTTACAGGGAAAAAGCTATATTCTTCAGAAGTTTAGATAACGGGGACATTAAAAACGAGAGACCCACGGGCCGTATAGGTCAACTGAGTATCATATAACAACTTTTGCACAATTGAATTTGGTTTGTGTTGACGTAGAGGCTATGAAATTCAACATTTTGAAAGAGGCACCATTGTTCATCTTAATTATATACTTAGCATGCTTAGTTTGATTACTTAATACCCAGAGGCAGAGCAGAGGAACAAAGAAAAAATGCATCTCCACTATAGAATCTGTAGTGCCCAACCCCACAGAACCCCCTGACCCTTGGGTCACACATTTAACAATTTAGAGAAGGCACCTTGCACATCATTAATGTTTGTTTAATATCAAAGAGCAGATTTCCAAGCATTAATTCATTTTCAGTGTATAATCATTAGAGCCCCCCCCCCCCACCACCACCACCACCACCAACACCACCCCGTACCTTTGACCCAAGGGCCTTGAAATTCACAATTCTGGAAGAAGCACCCTAGTCCATTATAACTATATACTTCGATCATCAGTATAATACTCTGGAACAGAGGAGATTTTCAAAGGATTAATGCCTTTTCACTATATAATCAATACAGCCCCGCTCTAAGCCTAGAACCCCTGAGCCAGGGTCCACGAAATTCACGATTTTGGAAAAGTCACCTTTGCTAATCGTAACTCTGCACTTAGTTTATTAGCTTAATACGCAGGAGCAGAGGAGAAGATTTTAAAGGAAATAATGCATTTTCACTATATATTCAACAGAGCCCCACCCTAGCACCAGAACCCCTAACCCTGGGGCCATGAATTTCACAATTTATCTAGAAGGACCAATGCTTATTACAATCATTGCTTGGTATTCAGGAGTAAAGAAGAAGATTTTTAAAGATTGCATTAATTTTGATGGTTTTAGCCCCACCCCTCAGCCCCCCCCCCGGGGGGGGGGAGGGGGCAGGGTAATGAATTTCACTTTTTTTTCTTTTTTACCCATAGATGCTTTATATCAAAGTTGGTTGAAATTGGTTTAGCCCTTTCAGAGAAGAAGCTGAAAAAGTACAATTAATGTTAACGCACGACGACAGACGAAAAAAGATAGCAATAGGTAACCTGAGTGACTCAGGTGACCTAAAACCCCTAAAAATCAGTAACAAGCATATAAAAAGAAAAACACTCTAGAATAAAATTCAATTAAGCACATTTTAATTTCCTTAAATCCATTACCGGCAGAGCGCTCTCTTCGTAATCGGGAGGTCTTGAGTTCGAATCTAGGTCGCGACTGACCTAAGTCGATAAAAAATGGGTAGCAACTGTTCCTTCGCCATGCGCTCGGCATGTTGAAGTGAAAGTTGCGGGTCCTTCGGATGAGTCCTTAAGAACAGAGGTCTTGTGTCTCGGTAAGCGTTGGCATGATAAAGATCCCTCACTGCTCAATGGCCCTGAGTGCCGAATAAAGGTCAAAATTTGAAGCCCTTCAATGGTATATGGTGAGGTCTCTATATGAGTGAAAAATTCTCAAAGGGGACGTAAAACATACAATCAATCAATCAACAATAAATCCATTACCGTCGGAGGATTGGATTACGCTGCAGCAAAACATTGGATGAGCAGCTGCCCTTTTATTGAAAATTTTCATAATTTTTTAAAGAAAAAAAACATTAAGGTTAAGAAAAAAAGTTGAGTAGTGGTCTTCCCCTTTCCACTTTTCCCACTGATACTACATGTCTAAACCCACTTTCAATTCGTCTATCATATTTTGAAATCGTCAAAAAGAGAACTTATTTGTTTACATAATTGTCTTGTTTGTCCGAACGAATAGTACATTTTTTTTCAAAAAAAATATTAAATTCATCTAAACAAATATATATATATATACAATGTATATATATATATATATATATATATATATATATATATATATATATATATATATATATATATATATATATATTTGCTTCAAGGACATTTTTTTCCAATTTATAAAAAATTCCCAATTTATAAAATTAATGATCGTCGTAGATTTCTGTTAATTTTTAAGTTTTCAAGACTCCAAAACTGCAAAATGTCTAGTCGTACAACATAAAAAATGCAATAAAATGTATTTGCTTAAAATGAAATTTTGCTGTATATAAAAACTAAAGTAGATTGTTTATATGTTAACCCAAACTACATTTAATTACTGAAAATAAAGCTATCTCTGAAAAATTATCTAAATTGATGCTTATTCCAAATTAAATATATATACAAATAGTAAGTAGGTGTATTCCGTTAATATATTTTTATTAATTCAATCTCCTATGAAAGAATACTTTGTCCTTCATAGATAAGTTATCAGAAGGTAAAAGAGCCACACAGTCCACAACAGCACCATGTTATCCTCCCTGTGGTGCAGATAAAGCTGTTGATGGCGACAGAAACACGTGTATGAAGGACACCGCTATAGGCAAAAGATCTCCAGAAAAATCCGTATGGTGGACCGTAGACCTCGGTGGAAATCACAGTATTTACAGCATCAGTATAGATTTCAAAGACTATGGAGTCTACGGTATAGTTTCTTTTGTATATTTACGTTTCTTACAGGCTCATCGTTATTATCCCGCCACCCAAGCTGCATGAAACAATGTCTTAGCCAGAGGACACAGGTTTTGTTTGTTTGTTGTTTAACGTCCCTCTCGAAAATTTTTCACTCATATGGAGACGCCACCACTTGCCGGTGAAGGACTGCAAATTTATACCTATGCTCGGCACTCAGGGCCATTGAGCAATGAGGGATCTTTTTCGCCAACACCTACTGCGAAACGGGACCTCGGTTTACACGGTCTCATCCGAAAGAGCTGTCTCCACGTCCCGCAGTGGATTCGAAGCCACGACGTAAGGATCAACTCCTTACTTCGCGACTCTAGAGCAGACCCTCTAACCACTGCGCTACGCGGGCGACGAGGACACAGGGAAAGATTACTGAAACAATATGTGTGGACCCTAGTTCCTAAACAGGCCCTTAGTATTCATTGTTTTACAGAAGTATGCCGTCTCTTAGATTTTTTTTACAGTGACCTAAAGGACATGAATATTTAAATTGATTTTTTGAAAGAAATATTAATTAGCCATTTATATAACCTTTTATTAGAAAAAAAATCTATTCATAGATAACAGGTTGTCGACATGCACTTTGGCGTTTGCTGACCACATGAAGTGGGAAGAGGTTCTTATGCAAGAGTAATGCCGAACAAAGATTATAATCTTCAAAAAATAAAAAAAATCCAAGTGAATATATATAAAGTGATTATAAAAACGTACATATTTTACTATAATTAAAAATAAAATACTTATGCGTTTAGTTAAGAGAATTTTTTCTACATTTATGTATATGCCACCCACATTCTTCTGAAGCAAATTCACTTTTAGAAATATTCTGATTTCCGAAAATTATCTGATTGGGTTTAATGTGAAGCCAATACAGCACATATCTTTGGATTAAGGTTTTGCCAAAGGTCAACATGTCCAAAAATTTATTTTTACAATAGCTCAAAAACTATGTGGTTTATAGTTAAAACTTTTACAGATTATAATTTTATCATTGATTAACAGATAGAAAGATTGCCTTTGCTGAAAAGGTCATTGTATCGGACATAGAACTTTCGAAATGATGACTTTAAACTAGATTGCCGATATTCTTGTTTCATCAACTTGTTTGTCAATAACTTACCTCGTTTTAGAAATTGCTCACACCTAGAGCATGCAATGGCGTATCGAATTAACTGAGAGATATAAACCCCGTATACAGGTGATAGGGATATATTGCTGCATAAGTAAGGGAAGTTGACGTTTGAAAAGTTAAAGTCATCACGGTTATCATAAAGCTTTGTTGTTAGATTGCCATTAACGTCTTTTTCTGTCGCCCGCGTGGCGCAGTGGTTAGAGCGTCTGCTCTAGAGTCGCGAAGTAAGGAGTTGATCCTTACGTTGCGGGTTCGAATCCCACTGTGTGACGTGGAGACCGGTCCTTCGGACGAGACCGTATAAACCGAGGTCCCGTGTGCAGTAGGTGCTGGCACGAAAAAGATCCCTCACTGCTCAATGGCCGTAAGTGCCGAGTATATCACAAAATTTGCAGCTCTCCACCGGCAAATGGTGGCGTCTCCATGAGTGAAAAGGACGTAAAACAACATACAAACAAACAAAAAACGTGTTTTTCTGATAAAATATCCAGATAGGAAACAGATGTGTCAGACTCTCTGTGGTATCTCAAGTCCACTGGGATATATCGTGTCGATATAAGAATGGGAATAACCATTGTTAGTTGACAATACATCATCGATATATGTAAAAGTCGAGTTGAAGGCCACAGCAAGTGTTTTCTTCTCTTCACGTAAAAGATTTTGAACAAATTCTGCTTCATATGAATACAAAATAGTTCGGCTAATAACGGGGCGCAATTGGTACCCATGGGAATTCCAACAGATTAATGAAAGACCTGCATGGTCTCCAAAAACCACAAACATGCCAAAAACCAAAGTCTCGACCTCCCTTGAGGGGAAAGAAAAATAAGAGCAATAAATTTCATCACATCTCCTCCCTTTCCTTTCACCACATAAAATTTTGAATTAGTATAATTACTAAGATTGAGTCTACATGTAATGTGTTGTCTTCTCTTGCAAAATTCAATCAGCACACTTGACAAGTACACGTACAAGCATAATATATCAATTTATCAGGTCGGAATGTTCAAGGTTCACAAACTATAAACAATAGCCTGTAAATACCCTCCAAATATCTATTGCTTTACTTGTACAATTGCAGAAATAAATCTTACAATTATCACTAGCAAAAATGTCCTCATCGACCGTTTCGGGTATTTTTGTCTACTTTCTGTTTCAGCTTGCAAGCAATCAGCCTCATGTTAATATTTAGATTTAAAAAAGTCGCTTCAGTCTATAATCGACAGCAGAATTGACATGCTGGTGATGTTAATGGAGTCACGAGTTTCCTAACTTTCCTGTGGACCATTATAACTACCTGCGTGTTGTAATGTCTGCCTGTTATGCCCGAAACCTGAACTAGGGACAACACGTGTGTTCAGTTTCACAACTTTAATAGTAATCATATAATGTATCACGAACCCGATCAAATAAGCATCAAATAATCATATGTTACATCTCCCTTTCTTTAGAAAGATTAATTAATACAAAAATGAAATCAAAATTCAATTCAAATACATACATGAAATGAAATTTGACTTATCAAATAGAAATTCAGTTAATCGTCAATGTTCAATAAGACAATTTCTGAAATAATTAAAATAATTAATTCCAATAGATAAACCTAATAACTGAGTTCACAAATGTCAATACACAGTACTTCAGAGGTCTAAGCGGTTTGGTTTCTTCACAACACGACCGTAAGAAGTAACGACAGGTTTAGGTGAATCCGCAACTATGGCAGCTTTGGGAGAATGTTTGTTCAGAGTGTTTGGAGGTTCATGAGTATCAATCTCAGAATCGCTTCCTGTATCCGGTTCTTGTTCCAGATCCGGTACATGGTTAGCATTAGCGTTTGTTCGTCTGAGGTGTTTTCGGTTACGTCTTAGTCTTTGATTGTTGCTAAACTCAACGACATAGGATCTCGGCTGTTTATGTTGCTCAACTACTGTTGCAGGTTTCCATTCCTTACTGTTTGAGTTTTCAGGGGGTGCAACTCTTACTGGATCACCAATATCTAAGCGTGGTAACTCTTTCACATACCTCCTATCATGATAGAACTTCTGCTTCTCTTTGATATCTTTCATTTGTTGATTTAGGTTTGGTCCTGTGTTTCTGGGCTTAAGCAGCTCTGTGCGGGTTGGTAAGTTGTTCCGTGGTCTACGACCCATTAAGAGTTGTGCCGGTGATAGGTTGACAGATTCCAACGGTGTTGTGCGGTAGTTCAACAAGCTGAGATATTTATCATCTGACTTTCTCCATAGTTTCTTAACTGTCTGTATTGCTCTCTCCGCTTCTCCATTGGAACTTTGGAAATGCGGACTTGACGTGATGTGTTGTATTCCATATTGGTCACAAAACAAATGGAATTCTCGTGAATTAAATGGAGGCCCATTGTCTGACCGCAGTTTCATTGGAATCCCGTGACAACTAAACGTAGCTTTCATAGCATTAACAACCGCTGATGTTGTTGTGGATTTCAGTTCAATCGTGTCAAAGTATCTGGAATGGTAGTCCACTATCATAAGATACTTCTTCTGTTCAAAGTCAAACAAATCACATCCAACTTCCCCATAAGGAATCTCAGGTGTATTTGTTGGCTTAAGTGGTTCACGACTCTGTTTGTTTTGGTACATGGCACATTTTGAACAATTCCTGACTTCCTCCTCAATGGCTGTATTCATGGCAGGCCAATACATGACTTCTCTTGCCCTCTGTTTGCACTTGACAATTCCTAAATGTGACTCATGAATTATTTTCAGCATGTGGCTTCGTAGACTTGGAGGTATAACGATCCTCAATCCTTTGTAGACTATGCCATCTGTGACTGATAACAAATCCCTAGAATCCCAGTACTCTCTGACGCTAAGAGGTGTCTCGGATTTAATGTCTGGCCACCCATGTACTATCATGCTACAAAGGTCTGACAATTCTATTCTGGTACGATGGGCTATGTCCAAGTAGCGATCTGGAGTGACATCTAACATGTCGAACATATTGATGTTTTCTAGAGTCTCTATCTCCGGATCAGCCTCGGGTAAATACTCTCTGGATAGAGCATCAGCAACTGTCATATCCTTTCCTTTACGGTAACGAACTTTTACGTTATACCACTGAAGCCTCAGCAGCATTTTCTGCAACCTCATTGGTGTGGATGCTAGTGGCTTCTGGAAGATCATTTCCAGTGGCTTATGGTCATTATAGACAATAGTTTCTTTTCCAAATATATAACAATGGAACTTTGTTGCTGCATGAACAATGGACAACATCTCTTTTTCTATCTGCGCATAGCGCTTCTCTGTGTCTGTGAGCGAGCGAGATGAGTATGCGACCGGGCATCCCGCTTGGATTAGCACTGCTCCAAGTCCATCCTTTGATGCATCACACTGAATCTCCACTGGCTTGTTGACGTCATAAAATGCAAGCACAGGTTGTCTACTACAAAGTCTTTTGAGTTCACTGAAGCAGTTTTCTTGCTCATGATGCCACGTAAATTCAGTTTCTGACTTCACTAGTACTCTGAGTGGTGCATCAACTTGACTCAAATTTGGTATAAATTTGGCTAAATACTGAACCAGACCTAAGAAACGTCTTACTCCTTCCTTATCCTTTGGCCTTGGCATGTCAACTAGAGCTCGGACTTTGTTCGGGTCTGGCTTAATACCATTCTCTGTAATCAAGTGTCCTACATATGAAACCTGCGGTTGTCTGATTTCACATTTGTCATAATTAAGCTTCAGGTTATACTGTGTAGCTCTCTCAATGACTCTTCTGAATATCTGATCATGCTGTTCTACATCTCTTCCACCTATAAGTATGTCATCCATCACTGCTGCTGCACCTTCTAT